TTGATGTTTGCAGTCAAAAGTAGCTACGAGTTTATCATTTAATTTCCTTCGTCCTCAATTTTTGTTAAATAAACAAAGAAATTTATCAAGTTTGACGAGTTTTTTTTTTATCGAGGGAAGAACAGATCTGAATATCGTATTCCTGGAAGAAGATTCTTATCTCATAAGATAATCGCATTAATTTTCTGAAAATGTATAATCATTACAGTACATTTTCTCCTTTTCTCAAGCGTTATCTATATTCTACTAAGAAATTAATTCTTTTAAGGGTTTTATTTCGATTTCAATAGGAACAATTTTGTTTTATTTTGATTTAAATAGGTACAATCTTGTGATATTAAAGAAATAACTCAGATATAAAAATCTTTCATTAAGAAGGTTTTTGTTAAACATTATTTTTCTGGTACCTGTCAGGAACATTAAAATGGTATTGCCTGATATGCAAAAGACAAGCATTTGTTTTAAAAAGTTAAGCTTACTAAACAACAATTAAATTTTTATTAATATATACCGAATTTTAATAAATGTTACAAACGCGCTTTTTTTCCTTTGCTTCATTTAAAAAAAAAAATACATTTTTGTTTTATATACACCTTTTATATATACTCTAGCATGTGGCAGAGAAAGTATAAGCTTCAATAAGTTAATCACATTTATTTCTACTGCTTTCATATTTTATATTAGATAGATAAACTCTAGAATGTTGCGTTGATAAATAGCAGTTACTGTCTTGCCAAACAAGATAAAATAAACACCTTTTGTACATCTTCTAATAAAGAAAGAGGTGAGGGAACACACCCTTAAATTAATATATACTTAAAAGATATTAACCTAACAACACGGTCATTTTGTCTATAGATGAAAAATTGCATACGTGAAACGGAATTTAAATTACGTTCGCAGATAATTTCCTTGCCCGCAATGTGAGATCACAAATTAAACATACGACGTAGTGCCTAGGTAATCTTTTTCAGTTCAAAGAAAATATGAAATTTTGAATCATTCTCGATTCTCTTTCACTCGCATATCTTTGATTACGTAATGTTAGGGGGTCGATTGATGAGGAAATTATCTTGTCTCATAAAGTTGAAATTGCGTTAGCTCCTGAATGTCGAGTGTTTAAAAACAAACACCAAGGATTTATATCACAACGGGTACAAGTTCAAATCCTTCGATTATGGCCGAATTGATATCATTTAGCCACTAAATCTTGTTATCAATCAAAATATTGTGAATATTCATTTAAAAGTAATTTGCATTAATTGTTTTGTACTCATATTTATATCAAAATATATTCGATTTAATTATTATAAATCATGATTTTTCAAATATATCATAATCATAACATTATCGATTTACCGCAATATTAGGGTGTGTTTGTGTGTGTCTATTTTCGTCAAAAAATTGAATTTGAATTAATTTCATCACCTTTAAAAAATAATTGAATATAATTTGTTTAAATCTCTTTTTGCTCAGAAAATAGTATTTACTGAAGAAATTTATGAGATGTTTTTTTTTTATTAAAACATACACTATACTTTGCAATTAATTATGATTATAGAGATTTTACCAAATCGTGTTCAAAGACATACATATAAAAAAAAGATGAATGTCTTTTAACGCTTCAACTACTGCAACAAAATGTGAATTAACAGATTAGAAAAAAAATATCAAAATTTTATAATTTCAATTAAATGTGGCAGAAAGCATATACAGCATTATGTTAAAATAATTTTTTATCTAGATTAATTACCCCAAGAATAAAATTATTTGATTTATCTGGTAATTTTGTACGACTGAATAAAATGTTTACTTTCTAATTTCTAAAAAAAATCACTATAGTGTAACAAAATAAAGTAAAACGTCTTTAAAAAATGAAGTGTAGCTACATATAAGAATTTTGTTTTTACTTTCATGGACTTATCTAATCCCTAAAAATGCATAAACTTCGTATTTCTGTTTATTAAAAAGTTATTATGTACCCTATCAATAAATAAATTGCATGAATCTCAAACACAGGATTTGGAATTACTTTAGTCATTTTAAAAATTGCTTAAATTAGCAATGCTTGGTCATAGATATTAAGATATTCTTGCGGGGTATGGAATTCAAATGAACCAATTTTGAATAAAGTTATATATGAAATATGGTTTTTACATAAATGTACATACATGACCTTAAGAAGCAAGTATTTTTTGGGAGGGGACACCAAAGAAAAAATGCATTTGAATAAAGTGGAAAGACATACAAGGTACATTTTATCTATTTACTGGCAAATTATGACGTTGTTGGCCTATTATATATATAGTCCAAAGGATTGTTCTATCACTAAAAATTTTCTTAAAAATATTTTGCCAAAATATATAGGTTTCAAATAAAAGTATTTTGTCTCAGATTTTGATAGATCTATGATTGTATAAGATATGACAATTTTGTATATATGTTTTTGTATTTATAAGACAGCTTTGTGAAACTGGCCCCAGGTTACCCGTTTAGCCTGGCGACTTAAAGTTAACATACATTATACTCATGATAGAGATTTTACAAAGATATACATATGAAAAAAAATGAATGTTGGTAATTTAGTCTTTGTTTAAATTAATTAAAAAAAATCAAACATTATGCAATTGAAGAAAAGTTTAAATAAAGATAAATATTAATAAGATTGTTGTTAAACATAATTCATCTAAACACATTCTTATCTTTGGTCTTTTATTTTTCTTTAAATGTTGTCACCTAAGAAGTGTTAAAACGATTTGCTGCCTTGATTCATTTTTCGTGTAAACAAAGTTAATCAAATAAATAGGATTTATTTTCAAAGCTACACATTCCTAATCTCTCAGAAACATGCCATATTTCAAGCGATGTTGTCTGAATTAAGAGATCTGTGTGAAAATGGAGATAAACAGTCATCATAACCGACGCTTTACAGTACGGACAAGGTTATCAAATATTGTGGACTTTGCCTCAATCAAAGGAAATTTTTTATATTTTTGAAAAAAAGGTATTTACTCATTTGGAAACCAGAGGATGTATAGCAGCTTAAATTTGACTAACATAATCGGTGATTTTTTAAAATTCATTTTATTACATTTTGGTTGCGTAAAGTTATTCGATTAGGTAGCAAACTTTTTGATAACCCTCGTGCGTGTAATTCATATTTAGATGCTACATATATTTTTGAAACTTTCTGACAAAATTTTGAATGTTCATATTTCAGTTTTATTTTTTTTTTATGAATTATAGGTATTCTGGAAATGAGTGTATTTCCCTATTAAAATATCCCAACTTGTGACCTTTGGTTTGATGCCAACGATTGTTTCTGGTGGTAGGGAACGGTTCTTTAGACATGTCATTCTACTTATTTGATTTGTTTTCAAGTAAACATATCTGAACTTCATACCTTTTCTTAATATCTCACTTTTTACACAAAGAAAATTATAAAGAAATGTTTACTTTTGTAAAATTTGAGCTTAATCTATCATCGTATGAAAATCTGAAAAAATACAGAAAAAAAACAAGAAAATAACTCATAATTATGAAACACTTAAAACCAAAAAAAAATTTCTTATCCTGTAAGATCATGCATAAGTGCTACTTTGAGTTTGTCTTTTTGTCTCCAAATAATAAATGCAGACCATCTTCACAGTTTATCACTTATATGAAAGAGTTTGTTACAAATGAGCATTAGAATATATTATAATATAATATATTGTACAAAAACAATTGCCAAGCAAAAGTACGGAATGTTTATTCATGTCGGAAATATTTATGCACTCTTAAAGCAAAAGGGCTTTAAAGAGTTTCCATAAAGCTACATTTTCAAACATTGTTTACAAAAAAAAAACAAAAAACAATTGACCTCTATCATGGCAGCACAAAAAATGAGTAGTATTTTAAAGTGTCATGCCTCGATTGTCATGTTTAAAAATAATCCATAACATCAGCATTTCTATATTAAATTAGGAAAGAAATCACAATAGACAGTGTGTTTCAATGAAAGCACAGATAAGATCTTGAAAAGCTATAGTTAAGAAGAATAAAAAAAACATTTATTTTTGTGTTTAAAAACTGTGTATATCAATAAGCACATATATAACAATCACTATAGTATAGAAAAGCAAAAGCATTTTAAAAGTACTTTTCTTGTTAAATATCAGTCACATTATCCATCGATGGGGTATACGATGAGAAATCGACGCGTTTTTAGATGAAAATGGCGTAGTTGCCGGCCGGACACCACTAGTAATCGGATGGTGTCTGAGGCCATTTTGCGAATCGGTGGGGTCATCGGTAGAAGACAATTCGTAGTTAAAAATCAGCGATGTCTCCACCGATGTCCCACATCGCTCCTCATCGACAACCAATCATTTACACATCTTTCAAGGAATGGCCGATGTATGGCCGAGCATCATCAAGTGTCTGTTGAATGTAAGATCATCGAAGAGTTGAGCGGTGGGCAACAGACATTGGCCGATCATTGGTCAATGTTCGACCAAACATTGGCCCATAGTCGACCGACGTACAAACGATGTTCACCAATGTATGAGCGATGTAATATACATCGGCCGATTACCCTGGAACATTGTTTAATGCATCGCTGGGCCTTTGTAAGTCCAACAGGCAACCACGCCATTTTTATCAAAAAATGCATTGGTTGCCCATCGTATATCCATCACTTGATAATGTGACTGATACTTTAAGGACTACTAGGCCGATGTTAAACGATGTTGGGGCATTGCTCAAACCAAGGGTTTCCACCGATTACCACCGGTCTACGCCCACCGACCGGGAAATGTGACCTAGGCATTAGAAGTAAAAATGAAATGTACATTTCCAATTGATTAAAAAAAAATCACCAAAAATTAATAACATACTAAAGGTCATGGAAATAGAAATATGTTTCATACCGATTCGAGTGATAAAATTTAAAAGTAGATAAATAAGCCTATCAAATCTTTCAACTGCCGGTATAACAGAATTGCTAACCTAATAAAATATTTTCTTCTAAACACATTGAAGCTGAGTATACAAAATATCATATTGCTCCTTTTGACTTAAATTAATGACATCAAATGGTGTAGCAAACGTTCAATTTCTTAAGTAAAATACATCAAGTAGTATATTGTCCTTGTTATTGCTTTCATGTAATTTTAAAAAAAAAATGATATTTAGGATCCACCTCTATCATATAAAAAATGTTAAATACGAAAATAATATGCATCATATAAAGTATAAATAATACTTTTTTTACACTTAAGATCAACTGGTTGCATGAATTAATACACATGTTTACATATTATGATTGTATATCAAATTAATAAAACACTAAGAAATTTGAGACTTTATTCAATACTTACTAATTTTCAAAATTTTTTCAAAAAGTTGCATTTCATAATGTTGAGATCAGCTAGGTCATTAATGCCACGATTTCAAAATAGGATTCAAAACAAAAACCTTTGTAAAATACAAAACAGAAAAATTCCAGACACCATCTGTACTATAACTGGTATATACATGTGTATAATGAATTTATAAAATAAAAATCATAACATGTTGTTTGATTGTTGTAGGGTTTGTTTAAGATTCATTACAAATAATGCAACACATTGATAAAAGCAATTCAATTATTCTTTAAGATTCCTTAAAGAAAACATAGACTGAAAATTTAAATCAAAAGAAAAGCTTGCCACGATTCTTTAAATATAGCTAACAAGATACTTGTTGTAAAAGCACATATTTAAAATCAAAAGATAATAGCAATTTTGATGTTTCATTGTATTCTCCTCTTCATCTCCTCTGAGAGAGTATACTTCGAATCTGAAAAAAAAAAATAATTCAAATAACTATTTTTATTTCAATATCAAAAAAATTATCAATCGGGAGCAGAATAAACAGAGGCCTCTTAAATACCAAAGGTGTGATCAGGAACCATGGAGGAGTAAGCATCCCTTCTCTACTGGTCACGCCCGGCTGTTATGATCGGAAACTAACGGGGAAATCCGTCGACAATTTGGAATATAAGTAATGATCTAACTATTAGTTTTAAAAACCTCAGCGGGTATTTGACTTAATGACAGATTGTATTTGCTAACAAGGTCATTGTATCAACTACAAAATGATGGCTTTCATCGAGACTGTATATATTCTTGCATCATCAACATGTTTATCAAAAAAATTCCTTATTTTAAAAATTGTTCGTATGTAGAACTTGCTCTTGCGTATTGTTTCAACTGAAAAATATAAACCCTAAATGCAGGTGATAAGTTTATATTGCTAAATAGGAAAGGAAGTTTTAAAAGTTAAAGTAATCAAGTTTATCATAAACAAGGCTGTTAGAATAATGTTAACTTCTTTCCAAATATGAAACAGATGTGTCCAACTCTGTGGTATGTTTCATTTTTAACTCAGTAGAATATATTGTGTCTCATATGAAGGGAAATATTATTACTCTTCATTGAAACAATCTGGAAAATTGATAATTTGTATAATGTTTAAATAAAAAAATAAAGGAATAAAATTTATATTGACCATTTTGTTGATTTATATTCAACTCAACTTACCATCGTAGAATACGACCTCACATTTATGGGCAAATTCTTCGACCAATTTTTGATTCAAAATATTTTGGATTTCATGGCAGAATTTCTTGGCCTGTATAACCATGTCACGTTCATTTAACCCTGCGATCTTCAGTTTCCACATGTCATTCAGGCAGGTTGCTGGGGCTGCATATTGCCCAACAAAGAAATACTCCTACCACAAAAAAATAACATAACATCTCTATGTGCAAATAAACTAAAAATACAAATTTTACGAAAATTTCCTATATTTCAGTATTTCAAAATTATTCTTTGTCTTCAAGTATCTTGAAGACATCACAACAAGAAAAAAAATTAAGATCTATGATCAAGGCTTCAAACACATTTAATTTGTATTAATAGATATAATTTTATAGATACTAGTAGTTATATCAGTCTACTTTTTTATTCCTCGTCTTTTTTTGTTGTTGTAATTTTCAGTCTTTTATTTACTTATATATTTATCGAAAAAGAAATACATCGTTCTTGCGAATTTTCAATGGAATAAATATCAAATGAATACAAATTCATTTTAACACGAAATATCATGGTATTAAAATTTTTGAAGGCTTTGGCCTAAGGCTCAATGTTACGGTGACCTAGAATTTTAAAGGTATTTATCATTTATGACTGAAAGTCAACTTCGGAAAAACATCTTACTGGAAAACAATACCTCTGAAGAAATCCAAAATCACCTATCAGGTATTTAAATCCAAATACATTGTCAAAATAATCACTTACTTTTCCATTTTCCTCAAACTTGTACATATCAAAGTTATATTTTCGCTGTATATTTCCAGCAAGATTGACATAAACTGGATGTATGGTTTCAACAAGATGGATGCGACGGTCAGCTTCTTCTAGCGATTTGTGGCACTCACAAGAACTTGGCACAATAATATAAACTTTCTTCTTGCATAACGTGGTGCTTTTATTCCGATTTGTTAATGTTTTCTCGATAGTCTCGGTTAATCCTACAAGAAAATAAATTATTTTTTCTTATCACACACAGAGAAAATTGGCTGTTTTCGGTCGATAAATTATCTTCACATCAAGAAAACAGATATATAAATAATAAATTATATTTAAAAAACACTTTATCACTCTCTGCATACAAAAATTCTTGTAGCTTTTCATTGAACATGTTCCTTCTCCCAGTAATTTTTTTTTTAAAAAGAAACTTATTTATCTAAAGTTATATGATTCAAAAAAGAAATATACAAGTTTTACCAGAATATTTAAGTGCACAATATTATCATCCTTTGAGTACAAAATGATAAATAAAACCTTTCCTATTTTGAAAGGTCATAATTATCCGTTAACAACGGGACCTAGAGTGTCATTGTAAAAAGAAGCAGCTAAACAAATTAAATCCTTATCATTACTGCAAATGAAATGTTCACAAACTTAGCTTTAAAAGTTTTTTATTTTTACTTAGCGTAATTGATTTATTTTTAAATCACCTTTTGTTGTCAAAAACTTAATTTGCTTTGGCTGTTATAATGATAAAAAGAACATGCCGATTAAAAACAAAAGGTGCTATGCTTAAAAAGGCTTGTTTAATAGCAGTTGTTTTTCATCATTTAATACATATCTGCCTATCACATCTGTCTATCTCTTAAAACTTCATACCATCTGCTCCCTCCTGTTCTGGGTCTGAAACAAAAAAAAATAATCAATGAACACAAATAATTTTTTGTAAAAAAAAAAACAACTAAGTTTTGAACTTTACAGAAACTGTAACACAATTTTTAATATTTCACTTTCCCTTTTCTATAATTCCTCACCAAAAAATTCCGCACAATTGTATAATTCTTATCAAAATGTAAAAAAAAAATCAATAGAAAAAATCGCCCGAAGCATAGTTTCCTGCTATTTTACTTTTTAAAAGTGTTTTTAAAGAAAGAAAACAATAAATATGAACTTGTACCGACCCATCAGAACAAATTGTAGGTAGTTGAGGACGTATGTCCAGGCTAATCCATACGCCACATCCCCTGCTGGAATTAGTGTTTCTTTCTCAAAAGGGATATCCTTTCCTATCAAATAAAGATGCAATATATCATATCAACAATTCAAAATATTTATAATCTAGTAAGCAAATTCAAATAATACGCACAGAATACATAGCTTTGACAAGATATGAAGGTTTTGTCAGTTTCTTTGCTGTATTAAGTCCTAAGGCTTTCCATAAATTTTCATATTGAGATGTCACCAACAGATTGGCCATTATTGACACACTGAGTTGTCCATGGGATTTTTTTTTCGTTATTTTCCGATCATAACAAGTAGCACACAGGACAGCAGGAGATGTCAAATCCTCCATGGCACCTGATCCCACCTCTGATGTTTTTGAGGTTCAAGATTGCTATTTTGTAATGTTACATGGATTTTTGAGCTCGAATACTGTTCGTTATTTCCACATATTTCATAAGAAAAATATCATTATTTAAAATGTAGAGAAACTCTTAAGCTTCAAATACTACTTAGTATGGTGTGTCAGTTAACAATTATGTGAACTTTTTACATGACATCAGTAATGTAGATGAATGACAAATTTAGGTATACCGTTTATAAATGTGAAAATATATTTTTCACTTTTTGCAATCGTATTGTTAAAAATTAAAAACGATGCACTCATTTTTATCACTTTTCAAGCAATATCTCAAAATATTATTTCTGAAAGCGTAATTGGAATAACTGAAGTTTTTATAAAGAAGTTTCGTTTACAATCTCAGGCAAAGGTAGAAGAAAAAGTGTACTTTTTTGTTTTCGGAATAAAAAAAAGTTCAATATAGGTGCCAAATTCAGAAAAATTACAATCCTTTCGTATTTTGAAAGAATATACCTTTCAAAAATTGCTCTTTTACAAATCTATGCTTGAAAAAGTCTAACAATTCTTATGTTTCTCTGACAAAATATTCGACTCTCAAACCAAACTGTCTGACGGCCTCAGGCAAACAGTTTGGTTTTTGGATCAAACAACTGCATGTTGTCCTTAAACCTAGTCAATAAATATGTATAATATGCTCCAGCAAAAGGAATAATCATTAATATTTTCATACCTTCTAAGGTACAAAGAAGTCTCTCCAGGTATCTCTTATTTTCATCGACAGCAACGTATGTAACAAACCGCACTGCATCTGGGATATCTACATATCTTGTGTCCACTAAAACTGGGATCAATCTAATCTTTTTATCACTAAGAAACTCCTGTAGAAGACTTAAAATTTGTATTGTAAATTCTTTGTCATGGAGGGCCTCTTGGGTCATGACCACTATAGTCCAGTAAGATTTCTCAATGACCTCAGCCAGATCAAACTGTTTCTGTCCTGCATGATGTCCAAGTAAATCGAGCTTTACATTTTTCTTATTCAGGAATGTTTCAATTTCGTGCCCAATAACTTGACTTGTTTCACTACTATGGCAAAACAGAAAAGCTTCATTCTCATATTCCTTTGGCTCTCTTGAACTAAGTCTATCCAATGGTCTTTCCATCTAAAATTATTATTAAGAAATACATAAGCTTGTTTCAAAGTCTTCACTTTTGCCATTTAACATTTGAGTAACTTTTAATTAAGTTTTCAACATGGTACTCTATAGCATGGTAGAATTGTATGCAATTAAAATGGACTTTTCTAAGCTTTTTAACTAGTACATTTTATTATATACATGCACATGTAGTAATATATATTCTTTACAAACCCTTCCATCTTCAAATGATTCCACATTCAAATCCTGTTTGATTGCTTTCAACAATTCGTCTGCTAAAACAAATCCTGGTCTGTTTTCTGCAAAAATATGAATATTTCAATGGCATTCAAGGATTGACTCTAATTCTTGGCCAAATTTTTCGCATATAACCTGTTATGGGTCAGTTTACGATTTATAATCCGCGAAGCGGATTGCAAAAAGGAGTCCTTCCCCAATAACCTTGTTGCTGTCGTGCAATATCCAAAACATATTCCCTTGTATCAAGCCCCGTGGGGATACGGGTTAGAATAGGTCCTCAGTACCCTCTTGCTTGTCGTAAAAGGCAACTAAATGGGGCGGTCCTTCGGATGAGACCGTATAAACCGAGAACCCGTGTCACAGCAGGTGTGGCACAATAAAGATCCCTCCCTGCTCAAAGGCCATGAGTGCCGAGCATAGGCCTCAATTTGGAGCCCTTCACCGGCAATGGTGACGTCTCCATATCAGTGAAATATTCTGGAGAGGGACGTTAAACAGTATACAATCAATCAATCAATCCCATGTATCAAACTCTTCAAACGATATTCCTGATACTCAGTAGTAAATTGTTTTCATTGTTCTTTTTTTCAAAAGGCTGATATAAATTTCAAGAAAAGTCGACATTTACCGTTATACATGATAACCCTTGCTTTATTGAACGTCTTTTCCAAGCTTTCGTGATGTAAGAGAGAAACCAGAGTGTAGTAGAAACGCCCAACTTGCATGCGTCTGTCACATTCTTGTAATTTAGTTGACGTCTCTTCCACCATTTTCTGAATTCCTGCTAAAACGGCTGGATATTCTGCTACACAGTAGTATTCCTGATCATGAATCGTGAAAAAAGTAAGTACATTTTGTGTGACCTATATGGCCTATATGACCTGAAAAACCTTTTGCAATAACAAAGCGTCTCTTGAAAGGCTGTATCAAGTATAGGAGTAAATCATTAAATACCAGATTTTTTGAGCGCCAGAACGCAAGTCTTAAAATAAAATACTGTAAAATCACATATTTTCGAGGGGTCAAACTTTCGTGGATTGTGGAAAATATTCTAGTTCATAGAGATTTGATTGCGTGGTTGAAGAATTGTTCAGTAGTAATATATGTGAAAATTTGCATTTCGTGATGGACAAATATGCGTGGGTCTCTTCTTACCTTGAAAACCACGAAAATTAAACCCCCAAGAACATTAGTGATTTTACTGTAATACGCGGAGAGAGCAACTATTTGCAGTACTAGTATACAATATGTTTCTCTTTGGAACCATAGCTTTCTAGTACGTAAACCCGACTTTTCTCAGAGAGCTACAATAATGCACCTATGCTGAAAACATATCTTATAAATTTCAATTTTAATAGCTCTTTTCTGATTTTAGAAATCTATTTAGTCTAATTATATTTCTTTCAGAAGAATGACTCATACTTTGTCCCCCAATGATTCAAATCTTTGGCAATTTACGATCATTGTAGAAGTGAGCTACTGGAAAAGATAGTGAAGCTTAAGTTTTAGGTATTTGAGCATAAACATGTCATAGAATCAGGCCGAGAGTCCTAAAAGGCACCAAATGAAACCCTTCTACTGAAAGAAATTTTTTAAAGAATTTACCTTTTAAAATAAGTTTCGATAATAATTAATTGAACTACATGTATATGTTAAAAAGAAGTCTATAGTAATTATTATTGTAAATGGTTCAAATTCAGAATAAATCGTGAAATACTCCATCATGCCACATATATATTATGTTATTATTATGAAAAAATAAAAATATTAAAATATAAAAAATATATTACATTGTAAAACATAACAGTCACTTAATTTTTTTTTATAAATCAAACCTAGTTTCAGCCCTCACCCAATATCAGCTCGTGCTTATAATGGTGTCTTGCGCTGATACGGGATGTGAAATGAACTTAAATATTATTCTTGATTGATTGTACATCCTGATAAAGTAATGCTTATCAAACAAACCGTGCCATCTTTGTCCTTTATGCAGTAAATGGACATATTAACGAGTCTGGTGTTTCCAGCCCTTTGGTACGTTAACGTTGGTAATTTCTCAGTCATAACACTGATTCGTTGCCCAGACTTTTCTTCGGGAATATCCTGAATAACCCAAGGGCAGCGACAGTTTTCAGGAACAAGTTCAAACAACTTCAGAGAAAACCTAGTTGGGTTTTTCTTGTATATATCAGTCTTTTTTATAAGATCTGCAATTTCTATAAACAGAAAAAACGGGGAAATTCAAATATCTTCAACAAAACAAAATAGAATTTAATTATGGTTCCACCTCAAGTTGCAAACATTGAGTCAAACCTTTTACATAAAAACAAAATAATTGAAAATACATTTTATAGTTTAGAATACTGTATAGGGGATTTATTTCAAGGGTTGTACTTTTCAGGTTTTTTTCTCATCTGACACGATCGCAGTTTCTTCAATCAGCGTTATGTTTTTAATTCACGAACACCAGGGTAGGTTAATATAAAATTTTTAGATTTAATAAATAATTGCAAATCATGTTACAAAATCCTAACATTTAGAATCACACTTTATTTTTTTATCTTGCTATATTTTTATTATACGAACAAAAATGTTTTACGTCATTTCAGATCTTTCTTTAAATGCAATTCTCAGTTTTTGAGAAAGTAACCTTAGAATACCCTAAAAGCGTGCATATGATTACTCTAGGCTCAACTTTTCCCAAGATTTCAACCGATTATTTCTGATAATTACAGGAACGTCTCGCACAATATACAGTATAGGCCTGAAACTGCTTTTGCAAATGTACAGTGCAATAACAGTACGACATTTAACTCTGGAAACGACATAGTCCAGACTTTTTACTACCATTTCTAATTATGATATCCAAAATATTTTTATATCACCTGGTGGGATTTCTCAGCAGTATCACAGGGTCTTATGTTGAACTCACCAACATCTCAACTTCTAAAGATATGAAGTCCTAAAACTCAGAATCCCATGGGAGAATGGTGGGATTTACAGTCCCACCAACTATCCCACCATTCTCCCATGGGAGAAAAAATGTCAGATGGGATATTTTCTCCCACTGGGATTTTTTCTCCCAAAATTTGTTCAAATGGGATAAATCCCACGGATATTGACAATTAAACAATTTCTCTCATACATTGTGAAACATGAAATATATCCCATAAAGTATGACAATGCCAAATTTCTCATCATAATATATAGAAAATATACCAAACATAACATGTATTAGAGAAAATAATTCATTGTCAATATCCGTGGAATTAAATATTTGAACAAATATGTGGGAGAAAAAATCCCTTAGGAGAAAATATTCCGTCTGACATTTTTCCTCCCATGGGAGAAATGTGGGATAATTGGTGGGACCGCAAATCCCACCATTCTCCCATGGGATTCTGAGTTTTAGGACTTCATATCTTTAGAAGTGGAAATGTTTGTAAGTTCAACATGAGACCCTGGAAAACTGCTAAGAAATCCCACCAAGTGATATAACAATATTTTGGATATCATAATGAGAAATGGTAGTAAAAAGCCTGGACTATGTCGTGTCCAGAGTTAAATGTCGCACTGTTCAATATAAAACCATTTATTTAAAAAAAAAATAGTGCTATATATTAAAACGTTTATCACTGATTTATTTCGAACTCCTCAATTTTTTCACTAACTTCAGCCTATTCTGGAACACTCATTGAAGACAGAAAAAAGCCATTCTCCCTCTTATATGATGCAAAGTTTATGTTCAGAAGTCGGGGGGGGGGGGGGGCAAACAATGCATTTTAAATTTCCATTAAAGACCTTAATTTTAATAACTTAAATTTTATAACAATCTTTTCAGAAAAATTTTCAGACAAAGAAACACTTTCTCAACAAAATTTACTATTATTAATAGCAATTTGGTATTTTGAATTTTTTGTTGTTGTATTTTTACTATTAGTCCTATTATTTTGCACAATTATATCTTAAGTTTACAGTATTCATTACTTTTTCTATATATATTTTTTTTTTGAAGATGCAATATTTTTAACCTGGAAGCAAATACTGCAATAATCCTGTATAGTGGGACCAGACTTGAGCGTGTGCAATGTTTCCTGCAGGCAAAAGTTCTTCTACACACTTTCTTTCTACAAATGATAATACAATTAAATTATATAATTTTGTGAATGTAAAGCTACAAGAACAAAAAAGAAATCTGTGAAAAATACTAAACAATATATTATTTTACCTTTTATCTTTTCAACAAGTTCTTCTAACTTGTGGTTAATATCTTCGAAGTCCTCAATATCTACACGCGGAACCGTACTTAGCATCTCAAGTGCCTTGAGAACATAAAAATAAAGTAAATCAATATTTCTCCATATAGGCTTTAACAATGCTCTTCACTTTTAAGTTTAATTTATTTTGAAAAGTTACTCACCAGCTGGTCTTCCCATTCAACTGAGTTTCCTTTCCACAATACAACAACGGACATGATGTTACGTCTGTGAGATTTCTCTAAAGCCATCAGAAGTTCAAGAGAGCACCACGGACTCTTGTGGGAATGTTCAGTGAGTATAATAAGAGACTTTCTGCAGCTTCTGATTGCTAAAGCGATGTTGTCAAACACCTTTTGTCCCCCTAAAAAGTTATCCTCGTCAGTCATAACCTTCAAACCTTTTGATTCTAATAAATGTTTTACCGTTTTGAGGGCAAAATCTCTGTCCTCCGGTGGGTCGTTCGCGTGGATAAGGAAAACATCGTGAGTGATGTCAACGTCTGTCCCCTCGTCTTCTGCCATGGTTCTGTGTTATTAAAATACTAAATGTAAAAAATAACTTTGTTCATTTATTTACCACTTTAAATTCATTAAAATATACGACAATTATTGTCATATGTAATAAATGTAATTTAATTTCAAGTGATCAAATCAAGACGTTAATGCTGTAACTGTTTTAAGCACTCAAATCATACTTAGGTCTCTCAAAATCATTACAATTATATAATGATATATTTGTCTTGAGTGTGTTTTTCAAATGCAAAAAACAAAAATTCCGAGAGAAAAAATAGTTGATATAAAAATGTGCGAGTGTTTAATTTTGCACCTCAATCTTATCTTTTAAAAGCAATGAAACTATGAAAAAAAAAATATTTACATCGCAATCATACAATTATAATCTAATCTTTTAAAAATACAATTTTCTGTTAAGTACACACTTAATTTTAAATAAAAATTAGTTTTCAAGAAAGGCATTCTATTTAGTATTGAAAAAAAATCCCATACTTAAATATACCTCCTAAGTTGTTTATGTACGTAGTAACTATTTTTGTTTATAGTGACACTTGTACATGTAGATGCAACAAATAATTAAATCGTTTCAGACCTAAGTAATTTAACGACAGTTTGGTCATATCTTACATCATTTTTATTTTTCTGAAATATTTTTGAATAGTACATGCTAATCTATAGAACATTTTTAATTTAAAGTATGTTTTTAATCAAATCCAGAAGTGTGCAATGGAGACTCTAAGATAATGGTAATCACAAAGTAAAATTTGAAAGACTCTGCATGTGGGACAGACACGGCGTTTTGCAAGTTGCATTATAGTCAGAAAAGTGACAAAGTCTTTTCATCGATTAATCTCAACGTTAACAAAAACGAAAGTAAAAATGATGGTAAATCTGAAATAAAAGAAGTTTGTAGCAGTATTATCGTGAGATAACTGAAAAATGCATGCACTGAATATACTCATGTTTAATTTACTCAGATGTTAATAAATTAAAATTTATTGCTAAATTATTAGCAATAATATTATTTCAAAAAGCCCTTTGTTGCACATACCGAAACTGAAACCAGACCAATACATGTCCATTATCAGATAAATGTCATTTAAATAAAAATAACACATTTAACCCTCGGTTGATTAATTATCTTAAATAAAAAATGTTTCCATTTACTTACAAGGAAAAATGAATGGTAGAATATATTAGTTTTTCCTTGCTTATGGAAATCAAGTATTTCTTCTAAAACTGTCTCTGTCCCACAGCGATCAGCAGTGTGTGATCAGCAGGTTTCGATGATCTAGCAGACGGAAAGGCGGTCAACCTGCACAACAATCGGGACCACTCGGGCATCTCCGTCCAAATAAATTACTAATAAAGAGAGATTTAAAACTTTATAGACGTAAGTATTTATGGGCGGTGTATTGTTTTGTTTGTTTTGTTTTTTTTATCTAGACGAGCCAATTTTCATATAATAGAAATTTGAAATATATATACATCTTCTAGCAAACGTCAAACATATATTCTTATAATTACCAGGTATGTCGATAGAAAAAAATTCTATAAAAATTAGGAAAATTAATTGTCAAGTAAACCTAGGATGACTGTCATCATAGACATCATAGACAAAATGTAAATAACACAACTCTGTTCAATGTTATATCGGTTATATTCTGTAACTTTAAACTTATCATGAAAAGGTTTCTAAATAAATAATTAAAATCACATAGGCGTGCAGTTTTAGATTTTATATATTCATCAACTTATCAACATCAACATTTCAATATGTTAAAATTTAAAAATGTCAGATTTGTATTTAAAAAAGATTTCTCCAAACTATGTCAGATGTTCAAATGTGCACTTTAGTCTGCACGTTACATCAACAAAATATGAATACATCAGATACTGGTATTCACATACAAGTATATACTTGTAACAGCTTGAAATGCCAACTCCAAACGCTATGAGAGATATCCTTCCAATCACAAAAAAAAAAAATCAAAGGCCTGAAGGGCCTGCGAGTTGACTCGCTCGAGTCAATTGAGCTTTTTAATACATCTGGGCACCATACCTTAATATATTTAGTTTATTTTGCATCTTAAGAGATTGAATATTATATGTCTGATCCATGTTCGGTTCATGAATAAAGTGTATATTGCTTTTCCTTTATATATACAGGTTGGCACTCATGGGCTTCCGTATTATTTTGACTGGATTCTATAATGAATTTAAGCACATTAGCTGAAGTGGTCAGTGTTATGAAGTAATTAGGTTAAAGATTCCCACAGCAAATCTGGATTCTAAAAATAGATTTTCAACAACAACTAGCTGCAGCTAATGAGAGCAGCAGGTGTTTGTGAGAGGGAGTATTCTAGGTCAATTATTAATAAACTTCAGATGGGAAGATTAGATCCACCTAACATGCTTGAACATATATTCATACGCAGTAATTGTGCATCGTACAGGTATTTAATCAAAAATTTCTTTAAAAGCATGAAGGCATAAATAATGTTACAGTATGAAATTTTATACAGTTTTTACCTCTTAAGTTTACTCAATCACTCAAACCAAAGCATTTTTTGCTAGAACTATAATATTTGGCGTATGGATCAACTTGATGAATGCGTGATAAATTTTACAGCTCTGAAACGGCTATGTCGACAGGGAGTAGCTCGCTACGCGAGCCAACTCAAAAAAAAAATCATTTCAAAAAAATATCTTTACTCATCCTAAATAATTTATTTTTCTCATCAAACTCAATGCACTCTTATAAAGTCAAAAACATTAAATTGGCACTTATCAATGCTTTAACCTCTACATACACATGTATTTAATTATTTGAAGCAATATGAGCTGCATTTTTGATAATTTTATTTCGCTGTTAAAAGTGTTGTTATGATTGATATTTATATAATTCAAACCTCTATGATAAAGATAGATTAACATAAAGTACTAAACTGTTTCAGAAGAAACTTAGGCTTTTGCACAATCAATTATATACAAATAAAGAAATCAATACTGTACAGGACGACAACAATGTAATTTTACTTGAATCAAAACTTATAAATAGTTCTTCCATTGCAAATATGAGCAACAAAGGTTTACAAATATTCTTTTTCTATGTCCTTGAAATAGTTAATTACAATTTTGCAATAAAAATTTCAGATATCAAAGTTGCAGCTCATATTGCTTTAAACCTGAACATGCTAAAAACACTGTTTTAATTCATGGTTGATAAAATACATAGACTCATGCAATATGAAATTATATATTTTTTATAAGTATAAGTATCTCTTATAGGTCTACAACTCAAGTACTAACACCAAACTACAAAAGGCTCTTAGGCAACAATGCTCATCTAATTCAATAAGGCCCTGCTGTTTTTCATCAGCAGATTTTTTTATGGAAAAAAAAAAAAAAAAAAAAAAAACTTTTATCCCAATCTGAATAAAATCATATCTTCATTTGTTACGCTTTAAGATTCTGATGGGTGCATAGCAAAGATATGATTTTAATCAGACTGCTTTTATCCCCAATGTGACTTCAAGCTAACAAATGGTCTCAAGTTTTTTTATAGACGTATTCTGACACTTCCCTTGTAAAGATCATGATATTATATTAAAAAAAATTCAATCTTCACTGTTCTTCAATACTTAAAGATACTTCTATTTGAAAAAAAAAATATGGCTTTGTCGTTCTTGAGAATTTTTTAAAAAGATTTTTCCTTGTAATATACATAAAAAATGGTTATCTCTAATAATGCACTGTGGCTCTACTCTTGTAAAAAAAATTGTATCACCTATACCAACAGATTCTTTGTTGAAAGTTTGGTTGAAATTGGTCCAGTGAGAAGTCAAAATTGTGAAAAGTTTACAGCCAGCCAGATGTTGGACAAAATGTGATCAGTAAAGCTCAGCTGAGCTTTCAGCTTAAGTAAGCTAATAAAAAAAGTACTCTAATCATGGCATCAAACACCCACCTAAATTAGCATGAAACCAGTTTTACATTTTTTTTACACTAATTACACAAATAAAGTAGTACATTTAAACTAACTTACTCTTAAAATGCAGCAATGTACTTTAGTTATTACTTTTCTTTATTTCTTGCTGTAACAAAATTAATGTAATTGTTTTTAAATAGTACGTATTTATATATACCTTTTTCTTTCTTAATTTTTGCAGCTCAGCTGCTGGAAATCATTTGAGAGGAAATTAAAACATTTAATTACTACAGTAAAACTTGGTTAGTACGAACACAGATGTTGCAAATTCATGGATATAGTGAAGTCATCTTGAATCCCCAATTATATTAATTTAATGAATTTGTTATACGGTTATAACGAATTACGGATATGGCAAAGTAATTTCGTAGGTCCCAGCGACTTCATTATAACCGAGTTTTTTGTAGATATTCTTCATCAATATGATTCATTTATATACTCAGTATAAATGGATAAGGCCATCTTTAAAAAAATTTTGGGTTGCCCTCTCCCGACCAACTGACTGAAAATGTCAAAACTTTTTTTTTATATTCCAGGACAAAACTTTGTTTTCTTTTCATTCCTCTTGTCCCGTCAAAAAATGAGTTGAAATTCTCTGGGGAAAAGATTTTCCCACCTACATACCGACCAAATAATTTTACATGGAGTCAGGAGAGGGCAAGCAAACATTATTTTCAAGATGGTCTTACCATAAAATTTACGTGAATAAGATTAATTTTCAATGCAAAATATATGACTTCTTTGCCGTTAAATCATTATTTTATCAGTAAAGTGGTATCCACTACCTACATGTAGGTAAAAATTCTCATTCTTAAAAAAGCTAAAGCTAATTAATATATATAGCCATCACTTTTATTTAGATTTAAAATGACATGTAATTTTTTTTTTACTTTAAAACAAATGTGGTCAAAAATACATAGTATTCTATGGCTAATAAAAACATGTTTGGCAAGTGGAGTATTTGAAATATATATCATTCCTATTCTATCTTTAAGTATATATGTTAATTGTTATATTTCATTTGAGGAAAAAATGCATTTTAACCCAGAACAAAACTATCATTCGTATTTTATCTATACCTATATGTTGTTCTATGTTTTTATATTAGAGGGAAAAAAATGCATATTTCCTGGTACAATATATCTGTATAAGCAAACTGGTATACATTGTATACCAAATTAATGTATGTCATTTAATGTACTTTTGAATAGGAAAGATAAAGGTTAGATACTACTCTATGGTGTAGAAAGAAACAGGAAATAAACACACACATAACTGCACATACAATGTACATGTACTATATAGTTAAATTATTAATAAATTCGATTCCTTGTTAGTGTTTACCTGCTATAAATATTCATAGAACATGTGACTAAGTAACCATAAATACATATTAAGGTAATTTGAATTCTTTATCAACTAACATACATTCATGCTGAAAAATGTAATTTCAGAACATGGAGACAATATGATAATTGTATGTTTGAATATCAGTTTATTTATATTTAGTTGACAGAAATAAATATCATAATTGTGTATGAATTTAACAGATTTTATGTCAATTGGTTAATGGTTTAGCGAATAGCACTGCTATATGTACTTAAGTCTTTTCTTATTTTTACTTAGAATAGAATTCATTTATATTCGGATGAAAAAAGGAGAGAGAGAATATAAATTAGATTAAACAATTTGTCCATTTTTTTTCTTTCTAACAAAATGGATGTGTCAACAAATGACAATCAACATTCTAAAGACTTAAGATTTTTCAAAAGTCAAGATCATGTTTAAAAAATGATTTTACAATAGCTCCAAAATTATGTGAGGTATAAAGTCAAACCTTTTACAGTTTATACATGTTATAAATACATCATTGATTAACAGATAGAAAGTATCACTTGAAAACAAACATTTAAAGAAATATATTTTTTTGAGAAAATAATAAAAATTTGCATATTTTAAAGTAAAAATGCACCTGTTTAATGCTGTACTTTTAGTGAAAACCATCAATGTAGAAATAATATATGTTTTATCAATGCAGGGTAAGTTGGACGTGAATGGTCTCTGAAAGGCTGCTATCGAAAGCATGATACATGTATGCATAAAGAAAAGGCCCCCATAAATCCGCCATTTGGAATGTACATGTACTTTCTGTATAAAGTCTTAACTTTTGGACAAAATAAACAAGGAAAACAACTTTCCAGAGGCTATTGAAGTCCAACTTGCCCTTTATTGATAAACATAAATTATTTTGTTTCTGCAATGACCTCTTTCACTAAAAGAACAGATGTTCTTACTTAGGTGTATATTGTATAATATATGCATTTTTTTACAGAATTTTTCTCGATAAATATTCTTATGTAAGTATTTGTTATCAAGTGATACTTTCTATAGATCTGTTAATCAATCATATCTATATATAAACTGTAAAAGTTATAACTTTGTAAACACATAGTTTTGGAGGTACTGTAAAAAATAAATTTTTAAGCATGTTGACCTTTGGCAGAACCTTAATCTTGCTCTTAGTCTTGATGTTGCAATAATTTATAAGACAATATGACTTGGATTTATAAAATAATTTTGTCATTAATTTCTCTGTATTAAATATTGCATAACAATTTTTGATTTGATTTTAAAAATGATGAAATCAGGGACCTATATACTATAGTATATAGGTCCCTGATGAAATAGATTCATATTTATTTTTAGAAGAAATTCATAATAGGTATGACTTTTTATCATAATGATAATTCTATAAAGTGATAAATTTAAGTCATTATTAAAAATCAATTTTATGATTAGAAACCACCATTTAAAAAGAAATGATGAATTTCAGTCTCACACCTGATTGCTGATTAATCAGTTAATAGCTACGTACATGTAAGAAATAGTCTTTGATTACACCTGTTCATGATACAAATATTAACCTGTTAACTAGTAACACATTTCGCTATTTGGTATCAAAAACAAAATTAAGATCTAACAATTGTTTCAACGTACCTTCTCATTTTGGATTCCAGTTTTTTTTTATGTTATCTGTTTTTTAAACACTGTCATTTAACATCAACATGAGGGGTGGGAAAAAACCCACCGTCGTGGTCCCCTTACTTTCGATTTAATTTCACCAAATGCCGATCCCGATCAGATATACAGACGAGCTCTACAAAACAAGAGTCTCCAGAATATACATATAAACCATCAGATCGGATAAGAATAATATCCTCAATCTGTTCTTATATTTTTTTTAATTTCACTACACGATTTGGAAATACATAAGTTTGACCCCTCCCCCGGCTATCCATCAAATCGGATAACACACAATTAATATCACTTTATCAATTTTTAAACTGTATGACATATCGCAAAATAGTATTATAAAAGATTCTTTATTTGGAAGACACCTTTTTTTTTACAAAATTAAGTTTGCAAACTACACGATTTGAAAATATATTTGTAGAATTATTAAATGATACATGCGAAGCAAATAAAATACATGTATGTCAATATGCATATAAAGATTTGATTGCTTATTCTTCATTATGTGTATAGAAGATTTTTTATCACACTGTAATGATGATTTTATAACCTCATTAATTTTTCATTTCACATGCTGAATACTATCATTTAGTAAAAAAAAAATAATTTGAGGCCTATATACGAGAGACATAACCACTAGACCACGGAATCGCTATTCGTGAAGTATATGCAGTAGTGAAGTCATACATGTATATATTCATGTTTTCCTTCGTATCAAAATTTTAACACACAATTATAATAAATGGTACGCGTGCTTTATCAATTTTTAAAAATAGCGACATGTAATACTGTATGACACATCGGAGCACAGGGGCGAAAGGGAGTTTTGATATAAAATAACATTGCATAAGTTCAAAATCTTTTGGAAGACACCGGAAATAATAGTATTACACAAAACAAATTAAAAACTTGAAACCACAAAATCAAAATGCAGAGTTGTTATATAAAATTTCATTGCAAAAGCTCAAATAGTTCTAGAGATATCGTGTGGAAACGAAAGTGTTTTAACAGAAAATTAATTTTTATATTTTTACACGCTTAATTTAAGTTTGCAAAGCCAAGTAAAAAACATTAACTGAATACTGGCGAAAATATTGTTTGGATTCTTTTCATGAATATTTAATTTATTTGAATTTATTAAAATAGAAAAATTTAATGTAACTTACATTCATTTACAACTTGAAATTAAAGCTAACGATCAAAATATATTATGAGCAATCAATGTGTCACAAATTATTTTTAGTATATTTTATGCCCACGTAATCGAAGATTCGAAGGTACATGTATAAAGTTTTTGCCCTGTTTGTCATTCCGTCTGTCTGTTTGGTTATCTGTTTGTCCGCAAAAACTTTAACATTGCCAATAACTTTTGACTGGGTGGCACTATGGCCTTGGCTCTCATATTTCACAGATGTATTCCTTGAGACAAAATTTTTTTTAGGGTACCACCAAATTTGACCTTTTGACCTTGGAATTTGACCCACTTTTACAAAAAAAAAACCTTAAACTTTGGCCTTTTAAGTTAACATTTGAACAGTTGATGCTAGGGCTTTCATACTTTGTACCTGTACTCATTCATTTTGGTATAAATATTTATGACCTTTACCTTAGAGATTGACGCACTGTGTAAAGGACTTTAACCTTAACCGTTACTTTTGAACAGTACTAAGGCTTTCATATTCACAGAAAAGACCTTCCTAATGATACTTGTACCAACAATTTTGATCTTTTGACATTGACCGTGGAGTTTGACTTGCATTTGAGAAAATTCAGCCCTTCACTATATGCGGCCATCAGTGTTTCTGAAACACATCTTGTTTAAAAAATTATTATACAAAAGAATGATTGTAAGTTTGGATTCCGAACGATCACACGTACTTGTTAGCACACGTGAGTTCTGCGGTGTACAGGCCTAGGGATTACATAATGGCCCCACAATGGCCAATTTTACGCTGTTCAGGACATAAACTGGACCAATATGACATCGGAAACCTTGCAAACTAGTTTTCAGTTTATGTATGGATTGTGGAATGTGGCAAGTAAAACAATCTTACACTTTGTCCAATTTGCGGATTAAAAATAGCTAGAAACTCAGATGTCAATGATGCCTAATGACGATTAATAAAGTGCTGACGTTTGACAATTTAATTATAACAGACATACAACGAATAACGGAAAAGTTTTCAAAATAATTATTGATTTTTTAACGATGCATTTCAGTAGGTCTAAATTAAAGGATACCCACAATAAACATAATGGAATAACAATTTTTAGCATTTCTGGATTAAATGATAGTTTTTACACATGTACGTCGTACATGTAGTATAAAGTAGCGGCCATAACATACTGTAATAAATGTAAATTACACAATATTCAATGAGCATATTCAAGGAAGGAATCATGGTACTTCTGTTGAAGTGGTGTTCTTCCGTTATCAAAATGCTGCCCCTCTTCACGAGTTCAATCTTACAAAAATTGTTTCCTTTAAAATTAAATCAGTAAAATGGTAATGATATTAGAAAAAAACCTGTCAATTTAGAGTAAAAAAAAATTAAAGCAAAATTCAGCTTGGCTTATTTTCATTTTCTCCGATTTTTTTTTTTTTTCAGATAAGCGTAGTTTTGCTTTATCTATTTTTAGCAATAGGTGATTTCCAACGTTCTAAAATTATTTCTATGTTGTAATCATATACTATTTTAATAGCATACTTCCAACAATAACATTTTTATTTATATAGGGGGGCACCAACTCGTCTTTGATCCCCCCTCCCGCGATTCTTATACTGATCTGTGAACGTATACAACATACTTATTTAGATATTTCTTTTATCAAAACATATAAACAACATATACATGTACAGATTGTTTAGAGCTTATATTAATAACTTTTTATGATCATACCAGAATATAATACTTCTATATACAGATCTAGAGAATGAAAATCATATCACATTCATATGTACGTATAATTATAACAAACATTGATTCTTTATCTTTTTATAGCATTTTTTGTCATGGAAATGTTTGTTTCTTTTTTTTTTTTTCATATTTTGATTTTTAAAAAATACTTAAATTGATGCAAAAGACAGAAAATGTATAATTATAATATATAGAAAAAAAAAATCTGTTACGCAAAATGGCTCTTATCCAACACCAGCACTGTCCGTGTTGTTGTGCAGGATATGTAATTACCTATGCCATTAACATGATATTTTTACAAAAATTTTTGTTCATCACTATATATGAGTAAAGATTATTATTATATGTGAGTCATTTTTTTTTTTGGCCACATTTTCTCACAACATAGTTTTGTAAAATGAGACAATCTTAACGTACGTAAGATTTCAATTTATCTTCTGACCATGACATTCTTTCATAATAGAATAGACTCATAATTTTATATCTATATGCTATAAAACATATAAATAAATTAGGTTATTCAAGATACATGTTTTTTTTTTCTTTTACCAAACATAAAAGTTTCAATAAAAGGTTAAAATTCTTTTAGAAATTAACACTCGCAGAAAATTTACTGTCAACTTCAATTATTCTTATTCTTCCTTGATCAATTTTACCAATCAAAGTATTTTGTTCAATTCTCCCTCTTTTTGTCCATAGAAAGTTGAAAATCATACCCTTTCAAAGAACTCTTCATCAATATATTAAGGTAAAATAAATGCACGGTGATTAAGCGTTGCAACTGCTCAAATATTGATTATATATTGAAATAACTTTTTTGGATATGTTTATCACTGCGTGTCACACAAATAATAAAAAGTTGGTACGTTTTCTTAATTTTATTTTTTTTAAGTATATAACATAAGGTAAAAAGTTATAACAATAATAATTGACCCTCATATGATATCTTATCTAGACCAAACAAATTCAAAACAAACAAAAACAAATTCAAAACATCTTAACAAACATAACAAAATGTTGAAACACAAATAATAAAAAAGTTTTCTTAATTTTTTTTTTTTAAAGTTATAACATACCGTAAAAAGTTATAACAATAATAATTGACTCTCATATGGTATCTTATCTAGATCAAACAAATTCAAAACAAACAAACGTAACAAAATGTTGAGCAGGCATACTGCACATCTTATTCACAATCAACATGAGTTCGGAAAGACAAAGAAAAATTGAATTGAATACTTTTATCAATGTTTATAAACAAAGCTAGATATTAATCAGTCATTTTAGTAAATCAAGTACACATATATGACCACTAGTTCCAGTTGGAGATTAAACAGTTAAAATAGAAATTCTTGTCCATTGTCACAACCTTGGAAATTAATATTTTGAATTTTATTAAAATAGAAAATGTTAAACAATATACTACTATACAGTCTAACAGAATACAAAAAATAATCAATGCCCTTGTGTTTAAAATGGATTTTTCTAACATGTTATATATCAAACATGCATTTATCATATTGATTTACAAATAAAGTATACATATATCTAAAAAAAACAACAACAACAACAACAACAACAACAAAAAACAAGGATTGTTAAATAATAAACATAATTATATTTATGGCATGTGCATGTTACATGTACATTTATCAAAATCATTTATCATTTTTTTAATATTAATATCTATGCGTACAAAATGACATCAACATCACTATCAGTAATGAACATTCATATCTCTAGATCTGTCTACTTGCATGTGAAGGAATAAAATATTTAATCACAACTTAGTTCATGGAAATTCGATTAATTTTATTGAACGTTTAACATGTATATACCTAGTAGCACCGACAAACATTATTAATTATGTAACATAAATATATATACTAGTAATTCACAATTATAAACATACAATAAAAATACGTTTTGAGCAATCAATTTATCACAATTCATTTTTATTAATATATTTTTAATTAATTATCATAAATGCGTATTTTTTATATACAATACATTTCAAAATCAAAATGCTATTGACATCAGTAAACAAAGGAGGGAAACACACATTGATCGACCGTGTACTGTTTTTCTGTCCTGGTGGTGAGTTTGGAATCCCAGCAAATCTAGAATGACACCATTATCGGGGCGGAATAAAACCCCCGCCA